CGATGGCCTCGCTCCCTCCCTCTCGCCGAGGCGCAGGTCAAATGATGTCACTCAGGAGAACGCGGAACCCGGTGGGAAGGGTTCTCTCGCGTCCTCCGACCTCCGTCCTCCGTGGGCTTCTGGACAGGCTGCGTTTTGTTCTCAGGGAGTGGAAGTTCCTCTTTTAAGGGCTGAAGAATGAGAGAGGTTGGTTTTTGAAATCGGAGTTTTTCAGGTTATTGTGGGCCAAGGAGTAAAGTTTTTGTTTCCGAGTGTATGGCTTGTAAGGGACAGTCCTTTTCTTTGTGTTGCGAAAATGATGTATGCTGTTACTCAGTAAAAGGTGTGCTAGATCTTCTACCATAAATAGAAGCGAATATTTATATGTAATTATTGCTAGCATCATATAAATCCCGGATTTTTTTTAAAGCAGTGGACTCAACAGTATGAAAATTTAGATGTATTCGGCGATCACACACAGAGGTTACCTTAGAATTGCAAGCCTGCCGGATCCTACTTGGTGTTGATTGAGAGTTCTGTTGTTCTTGCAACGTTTTTTAGAAATTCTTTTCAATTGCAAGCAAACCTGTTATCTAGACTTTAAAAAGTCTATTTACACAGGTTTATCGGTACAGTTGGAATAAGTAAAAATTGTTACTTTTTTCGGGGAACACCGTCTAATAGAACTTTTGTAGAAATCATAACAAAACCAAATACGTTTACGTGTCTGATCAGGTGCAGGAAGCTGGGACACACTGGAATAAAAAGATGAAATTTCTAACCGGACTGTTACCTGGAAATTGTACCATTTCAGAGACCCCTTTCTTCATTTTTTGCTGATTTATAAATATACTGATAAATATATATATTTTTGAAAACACACTAATCTTATATCTGCTAAGTTCTGCCACAGAGTGACCATGTATGTGGGCCTCAGACTCGCATCTGTACAATATGAAAGAGTTGGACTTAAATGATCTCTGTGGTCCTTCCATAACTCTGCTGTCTTCTGTGATTCTAGGATTTAGTTTCCGTGCTTGTTAGAATTTGTATTCCCCTCTCGTTTTTATAGCTAAATTGACAAATATTAATCTGGGTAAGTATTAAGAATTCTCCAGGAAAGCAACCTGATTTTTGACAAAGAGTAAACCGGAGGCATAGTCACATAACTAGTCTGTTAGTCACATAATCTAGTCTGTTAGCCTTATGATGTAGAATGTAGCTCTATTGTGTCTCTGCCAACAGCATTGGATGAGGCTTTTAGTTAAATAGTGCTACATCCCTAAGCTATTTGTGCTCATTTCATAGTTCTTCTAGGGCTGTGAGTGGAAAGTATGGGTGAGAAATTCTTACGAGTTACTGTAATTATTAGTACTTGATAAATATGGAAAGATTATTGGTCAAGATTATATATCTCTTCTAGTTTAGTCCATCTTTGTGTATTACCTATAGTTTGATTTAGGCCTCTACCATTTTGTAATTGATCTTGCTGGAAAGGTAGTTCATGATTAGTCTTGGTTGTTGCATAATGTCTGGGTCTGCTTGCTAATTTTCTGGTTTTCCTGTTATAAGCACGTGTATCAGACAACAGTTTTTGCTTCTAGTGTAGTCTGGTTAACTTACAGCTTGCTTTTTCTTTGGAGAGTGAACAGATTGTAAGCACACATTTGGACCATAGAGTTCTTGTCTAGTTCATTCATCAGCAAATGTTAAATAAGTAATATGAGACATAGTTTATCTAGAAGAGATAAAGTGAATACTTGAACTCTATATAGTAAATTAATGAGAGAAATTTGGATTAGACAGATGAAGAGGGGTCATGTACACAGTCTTATAACTTTTCCCAACTGTTACGTATTTTCCATTTAATTCTTTAATTAAAAATTAAATGGGGGAGAGTGTTGCTTTGGACAGGCTGGATTTACACTTGTGAGCCCAAGTGATCCTCCCCCCTCAGCCTCCTGAGTGCTGGGACTACATGAAGCCTGTCTCTTTACAATCTTTTCCTTTTTTTCTGTTTTGATCTCCTTACCTTCTCACCTTTATATGTTATGGGGCCCTATTGTCCTCATTTAGTTCCTGTTAATTGTCTCTCCTGGACCGAATTTCTTTAAGGGAAGGACTGGTTTTTGTTCCTATTTTGTATTCACAGCATCCAGTACATGGCAGATAATTACATTTAAATTGTGATTGTTATTTAACAGAATCATAAAGATCTCAGTCATGCTTCATTTTCTCAACTATTGTGAAACCCACAGTTTCAAATAAGTAATAATATGTGTGTGAATGTATATGTATATGTATATGGCATGTGTATATGAATACAAGAGGTGACCCAAAAAAAGACCAGAATTATTTTTTGGTATGTAGATCCCTGTAGTACTGGCTTCCCCAGCTAGGTAAGTGGTCTAGGAACCCATTGGCATCAGCATACTAGCTAGTGTTGTTGTGAGAGACTGTGTTTGACTTCAGTGAATTTTTTTGGAGATTCTTTCAGTGTGTTTGCTCATTTCATAATGGATGATTTACCTGCCCACATTGCACTGAGTGTTCAGCAGTTTTTGACCAAAAATGGTGCGTCCTCCATGTCCCATCCTCTCTATTCACTCCATCATGCCTGAGTGACTCCCCCCCCATGGAAAATGTCCTTAAAGGGAAACGTTTTGCTGGTAAACCAAAAATGGCAGAAGCACTAAAAGGCATCAAAATTGACAAGTTCAAAAACTTTTGAGCAGTGGAAAGAGCATCTTGATAGATGTATTGCATCAAACGGAGAGTACTTTGAAGATGACTGACGTTTAAGTATATAAGAGTAAATACACAGTTTTTATGAATAAATTCTGGGCTTTTTGGGGTCTCCCTCATTTGTATAACTTTTGTATTGATTTGGACTGGTTGTGGTCTAGATATTTTCCAAATCCGTGTAATTCTTAGCGATTACTAGCCTAAGTAAAATTATTTTTAGACATTCGTCTTTGAGGGGGGAGTGGAAGTATTTATGCAGGCAAATTTGGATTTTGGAAGAAAAGGAAATAAAAATACAAAATTGCGTTACTTATCTTTCCCTAACCTTTTATTTTCACCTTCTCAATACATGTAATGGATATAGGAGTTCCTTAGTTGCATGTGTCTCTCTTCTCCTTTCTTTCTCATCATACTGTGGGACTGTGGACTAGGGAAAGAAAGTAGGGGAACTTCAGGCTATTTTCACAGACCCTGGATCTGCCTTGCTCCCAGAAAGACATGAGTCCAGTTTGTTGTTTGCCTTAACTCAAGAATGGGAGTAATGGTTTGTTTAAAAAAAATGATTGTCCCAGTACTGGGCAGTAAAGAAACTGTGCCGCCACTCCCCACCCCTCAGATGACACCAGTTCTTGAGTGGTTTTCTTCTAATACTGCTTATTAGCTTTTCAGATTTATGTTTTAATTAGAGGAGTAAATTGTGACCGTTGCGTAAAGGTGATAGAATGATTTTATCTCTTTCATTACCTTCTTTCAGTTTTTTTGTGAGTCACTTGTGTATGTGAATTGTTGAAGTGTAGAGAGAAATAACTTAGACATTTTGTCTTGGATCTCAGGGTAATGCATCTCCAAGGGACTCCCCTATCCAGTGTTTGAATCTCAGCTTTCCAGGATCAGGCTCTTGATATGTTTTTGATCAAAAGCATACACAAAGTTGATCAAAGCTTTTTGTATTTATTTGCTTTTTTTTTTTTTTAAGGAACTTCAGAGTTAAAATTTACACACCATATAATACATTTAATTCAATTGGATTTTTGTTGTTGTTAAATTTACAGTTGTGCAGCCATCATCACAATACAATTTTAGAACATTTCCGTCATTCCCAAAAGATTCCTGATCTCATCCAAAAGACCTACCTTTTGCACGACTCCAAGGGACACAGTCACATTCCTGCTTCCAAGATCCTCTTTCATACTCCACAGTAGCTAAATCCTTTCAGTGAAACCGTTCCCAGAATACAAATGCCAAAAAATATTTGTTTTGGACCCAGTGATACAATTCTCTTCAAAGACAAGACACCGTTAAGGTCTAGGTTCATTCTCAGAATGGGAAGAAAAATCCCAACCAGGGAGTACAGTACTCATCAGTGTCTCAGTGATTTATCCTACCTCTGTAGGATGAGATGGACTTATTGGGCAAACACTGGCTTTGCTGAGTGGTGACTTGCAAGTGAGCTAATAAGATCTCTTCCTTGATCAAAGCTTTTAGCCTTTCTTGTTATTAACTTGATTCCTAAGAAACCTGCTACACAAACCAGAAGTCAAGCTGTTACATCATTTGATTACAGTTTGGAAGATTATTCTTTTAATGGTTGAGTGCCTGCTATGTGCCATGCTCTCTTCTAGATGTCAGTCACATGCTGAACATGATACGAAGCTTATGTGTTTTTCAAGGGTATACTCAAATCACTTTATGGTTTAGGCCTTTTGCTGAATAGACACTTACTTGTGAGATTGAGTGAATGAATGAGGCAGTGAAAATTCTAAAAAGACTACGTTAAAGCACTTTTTTGTTGTTGTTTCTGCTGCTTGAGTCAGAGTTTCTCTCTGTCATCCAGGCTGGAGTGCAATGATACAATCATGGCCACTGCAACCTTTACCTTCTGGGCTCAAGTGATCCTTCTGCCTTGACCTTCCAAGTAGCTGAAACTCATGCCCAGCTAAATTTTTTGTTTGTTTGTTTGAATCTGAGTCTCACTTTGTCACCCAGGCTGTAGTGCAGTGGCATGCTTACAACCACCGCAGCCTCAACCTGCAGGGCTCAGGTGATCCTTCCATTTCAGCCTTCCAAGTAGCTGGAACTACAGACATGCATCACAACGCCCAGCTAATTTTTTTTTGATTTATTGTAGAGATGGCATCTTACCAAGTTGCCCAGGCTGGTCTCGGAACCCCTGGGCTCAAGCAGTCCTCTCACCTTGGCCTCCCAAAGTACTGGGATTACAGTCATGAGCCACCACACCTGATCCTTTTTTTTCCTTTAAATTATAGAGATGAGAACTCCCCAGGTGCCCAGGCTGGTCTCCAACCCCTGGACTCAGGCAGTCCTCTCATCGCAGCCTCCCAAATTGTTGGAATTACAGGTGTGAGCCACCGCACCCTGCCAAACGTGTTTCCTAATGTAGCGACAAGGACCACAAGCCTTAACCCCCAAGGAAAATTCACTGTCACAACACAGTGGATCAGGTGATATTCATGATTTTTAAAATGCTGCAGTTTAAGTATATTTATGCACGATTTAAGGATATTAACCCACAGTCATGTCAAGCATTTAAAACATGCAGTCATTTACTTTTGGGCTTATGATCTTGTCCTTTATTCCTTATTAAGGTCTCTAGGTTTGTGTTGAATAGACCTGAGATCTCCACAAACATGTGATCATTATACATTATATGCTGTACAGTCATATATGATAGAGAAAATTAGCCACAAATATTGTCAAATCTCTCATCTTTGCATGAGAATTTAGAAGCTTAACTTAAAATATGGAATTAGAAGAAATATTAATCTTAGTCCAGGCAAACACTTATCTTTCTGTACTTCAGACATATGCTTCTACCTCAGGTTTTCTTAACATGAAGGTCTGCCCTTTAGGATTTCAGAATTAGCACCAACAGAAAATATATCAATAGGTATTTGGGAAACAGGAAGGACTTAATGTTCTTGAGCGATGCTGTTTTTCTCAAAAGTTTTTGTGAGAGATCCATTGCCAGAGGCACCCTTTGCTGTTTTGATGTTGAAAATTAATTTTTAATTTCTTTTCAGTCTCTGCTAACAAAATCATCAAATACCTTAGAAAATCCAGACTATCCTTCACGTTGGTGCGGCTAGCCATGAACTATCCTTTTCTTCTCCCTCTTTTTCCCAGATATCTCCCGGGGCCAATTCAACACCTCTACCTGGCCATCCTAACAAGGTGATTTGTGAAAGGGTGAGACTTCAGAGCCTGTTCCCTCTCCTCCCAAGTGATCAGAACACTACAGTTCAAGAGGATGCTCACTTCAAAGCTTTCTTCCAGGTTCTTATATGTTTACCCTTTCCCTACATAGGGCTGAAAGTCACAGATACATTCCAGGCTGTTTCTAGGAAGGCTTAAAACAAAAATTGCAAATATCTTCTTCTTATTTTCTGTTGTATGTGGGACTAAGTATTCTTCTTAAAGGACTTCTTTAATATATAACTTTTCAGCCAGCTTTTCTGGCGAATGTTTATCTTCTTGATAGCTACTAAGCTACTGCTAATTATTTCACTACTTAATATTCTTGTGTTTTGGTCTTTTGGTCTTAATCACTTGTCCTAATAGGTCAAGTCCTATAGGAAAGTAGAAGGTACTTTAGAATATGCGAAGTTGTTTAGGGAAGGAAAAATGGAAGCACATAATATATTTTTTAAAGCTATCACTAACTTGCTTGGTATCCAGAGTTTGATAGTAATGTATATTTCTGAGAGAAAACATGGTTACTTGCCTTCTGTGACTTTTGATACCTGTGGGTAAAAATGAATTAAAAAATTTAAAGAATGTAAAATGAAAATAAAGAAGTAAGGTATAAATGGATTAAAACTCATTAGGTTCTTAAGATTACTGGGATCTGCCCACATAAATCATTGGCTGTTAAACTTTTAATCATATTCCTAGAGAAGCATGTTTTAATAATGGAAATCAGTACTGCTGTTACCACAAAAATCAAGTTACAGAATTGCTTCTGGATGATACTGTTGTGGGCCAACATGTGTAAACCTGAGGTAGTACAATAGTTGTTGATCATCAAGGCTGGAGCCAATTTGTTTTCTTTTTGTGTGAGTGGCAGATTGGACCTGGAACTAGTTCTGACAGGGAAATGCTCTTGACATACACATTAAGGTGTAGATGTGAAATTTCTGGGGATAGATGTGTAGGTAATGTAGGGAACTTCAGTCTGGTATTCCTTGTTGGAGTTTGTGCCAGGTTCTCTGTTTTGCATATAGTCACTCCTTTGTTTTTAACCCTAACAATAAACTAGTTATGGATGGTTTCTTAGATGTGGAAACAAGTTCAGAAAAGCTCATTGAGATGCCCAGTCACATATTTGATTATTGAAAAGCAAAGGCTCAAAAATAACTTTAGCTATGTATTGTCTAAACATATATACATGAAATGGGCTCAGTAACCTTACTGTTACCAACAGTAAATGGTGTTTTTGACACTTTCTCCATATTCCCTTTGAGTCAGACAATGACCCAACAATGGCTTGTATTCAGAGAGTAGCTGCCAAATGCAGTAGATTTAAATCCATGTTAGGAAAATGAAACAGTAAAGTCAGAACCAATTGCGTTTAATTGTTGGGGAAAGATAAAAGATATTATTAAATATTTGTTTATAGTTCCAATTTAGCTTAAGTTCTACTTTCCTCTAACTTTAGAACAAAGCCCTCAGTGAACTTTGCAGGTAGGCTAGAGGTTTTCTTTGCCCAGTTACTGCTGTCCTACCACTGTTCTGCCTGAAACAAAGCAGGTCCTTCTCACAACTCCTTTGAAATATTGATATCTTCAACGAGTTATAATGCCAAAATTGGGGATAATTTGTTAGTTTCAGTTATGCTTCTCATCCTTAAAAGCCTAGTTACTACATGAAAATCAACACCTACTCAGCCATCTCATAGCCTCATAAAGTTATTCACTTTTTTTTTTTTTAATTCTTTGGTTCCCCCAAGTACCATCTCTCCCAACTCTTTCTGCTTTTCCTTTCTTTTGAAATCATCCATGTTAAACAGATTTACCTACTTCTTCCATTTTTTTCTTTTTTTATATTGATTAATTAATTTATTATAAAGATGTGGGGTACAATTCAGGGTTAGCTCTACAAACACCATTTTTTTCTTAAAGCACCCTCTTTGCTTCCTTATCTTATCTTAGATAAAACTCTAATTTTCTGAGGACATCACTTTCCATGCCAAGCCCTCTCTAGGAATAAAGAAATTATTACTTTTTTCTCCCTATACTAAGTTTGGAGTTGGGTGTGTGGCTGAAAAGTAAGGTGGCCATAGAGTAGAAAGAAAGTGTTTATATTTTCCTGGATTCTTACTCTTGTTTCTGATCACCATTCTTTTTGAACAAAAAGCTCATCCTGTTTTGAAATCTTTTCTGTCTGTCATCTTCATTATTTATTATTTTTGTCACTATCTTTATTAAAAATGTTTGCATTTTGCTTCTGTTTTATTTGCTTGTTTTATACTATATTCCTCCTAGTCAAGATGTCTTTGTTAGTTGTAAAAAATTTTGGTGTTTCTTTAAAATTTTGCATACTTTATTCATTTTAAAAATTAAAATATTTTATATATGCAATTTACAAAGTATAAAGCAGATACTTGTATAATAATAAAATACCATCCAGCTTAAAAAACCAGTTATTACCAATATTTTTGAAGCCCCATATGACCCTCCAAATTATGTCCACTTGCTGTCCCATCCGTACCTGTGTAATGTTACTTATTCTGAACTTAATATAAATGGTATCGTACTTCGTATGCTTTTCTTTTTGAGATTCACCCATATTAATGTGTGTACATATAGTTGATTTATTTTATTGCTTTTAGTTTTCCATTATATGAATAGACTCCAGCTTTATCCCCTTTCTTTTTGACTGGCACTTGGGTATTTGCCAGTTTTTTACTGTTACTACAGCAGTGCTGACATGAATACTCTTGTATGTATTTCCTGGTGCACACTGGGTGTGTATTTTAATGTTTCTGTAAAATGATGACTTTTTGTTATTTATTGCTTGCAGAAAAGGTATAAGTGTAGGTGCATTTGCCTTGCTATAAAAATAAGCCTGTACTTAAAATTAGAATCTTAAGTACTTCTTACAGTATTTTTTTCAACTTTAAAATTAAAGTATAACCTACAATAAAATCAATCCTTTTAGTGTACATGTTTGCGAGTTTTGACAAATGCATACAGACATTGAATCATACCACTGCAATCACTGTTTCATCAACACTCAAAATTCCCTCATGTCTCTTTGCTGTCAGTCCCTAACTTGACGTTTTAAAGTCTGCAGGGTTTTTTTGCTGTCAATGGATTTGATGGTTGTGGTTGAAGATAGTAAGCTTTTATAAAGTAATTAAGTACATTGTGGGAAAATTCAGTTTCATGTCTGGCATAGCCTTTGATTTCAGAGGTGTTTGTGGTATGTTAATGACAGCTATGTGATAACTTATTTTGTGAATTCATTTTGTGCATTTACTAAAATTAGATAATTGCGATTAATTAATTAGATAATTGCGATTTTGAAAATCTGTATATATTGCGAAATATACTAGGTTTATAAAAGAGAAGACTATTGTTAAAATATCTGTACTATAGCAAATTAATAGACTTAATAAAATTTCCATTCAAAATACTAGCAGAATTTTGCTTTTGGAACTTTGCAGGGTTATCTTTAAATTCATAAGGAAGATTACTGGAGAAAAGACAGGGAAAAACCCTTTCAGAAAATTGTTGTAAGGGGAGAATGTGCCATAACAGATAGCAAATGATATTAGAAATAACTCTTTGTCAATGACCTCCATGTTGGTACATCTAGTAGGTGTTTTCCAGGCCTCATTAGATGATTTTTCAGTTGTATTCTTGAAAACCCCTCCCACTGGCTTCTATCACACTCCATCCTCTTCTCCTCATCAACTACCCAGCATTAAATGTTGGAGTTCAGTATACTCAGGATTCAGTATTGGACCTTCTTTTTACTACATAAACTTTTGGGGGGCAATTTTATGTATGCCTGCAGTCTCATTAACCTGCAGTCTATCCATATACCAGAAACTCTGGAATTTATTCCTACCCCTTTAAACTTCAACTGTCTATTAAACACCTTACGTGGGTAATCTCAGAATCTCTTAATTTCAGGTTGTTTTTAGTATCTTTTCTATTTTAAGTGATTTCATGTTTATACTTGAGATTTTTTATTTTACCATTTACCTACATTTACAGCTTTAAAGTTATTATAGATACAGACATATGATGAATCAAATACTTTGGTGGAAGTAAATACAGTGGTTGAAAACAGTGCAACTGTAGCATCAAGTTAAGTTAGTTTTTGTGAACCCATGCTGTTTTATGTAATTAAAAATTGAGGAAATCTAGGACATAACATTAGTAATCTGTTGTTCAAATACTAACCATGCAGGCCTCCCTAGAGTTAGCTAGGAAGCTACTTTATAGCTCATGTGTTTTGATGGACAATTATATTAGCACAGTATTGGATCCTATACATTATGATGTGATTTCAATACATTATACCACTGGAGTTCCTTTCTAAGCACTAATTGCACATAAAACTTATTTTCTATGGACTCTCAAGAAATAATACAAACTTGGATCATACTAAAAAACAAAATTCTTATTTTGTTTCTGGATACTCTTGGTAACTTTTGAAAATACAACATTCAAAGCCTCTTTCGTCTCCTATATCTACAAGTAAAATAACATTCCAGGAGGATGTCTGGTTGAGAGATTGGATTTTAATGTGAGACTAGGAGTGGTACATCAAAAAAAAGCCATGTGAAATAAGACTGTATATTGTGTAGTTCAAGGGTAGTATTTCACTGATATGTCTTAAATTTCAGCTTCACTAATAGAAACACATTTTATGTACACCTGATAACATAGCTTAAAAGTGAAGACTCCAGCTTGTGGAGTTTTTTACTGTTGTTGTTGTTTTTGAGTTGTCCAGGTTAAAGTGCAATGGCATGCTTACGGCTACCACAGCCTTCACTTATTGGGCTCAGGCAATCCTTCTGCCTCAGCCTTCCAAGTAGCTGGTGGGACTAAAGGTGTGTGCCACCACACCCAGCTAATTTTTTTGATTTATTGTAGAGATGAGGTCTCGCCAAGTTACCCAGGCTGGTCTTGAACCCTTCTACTCCAGCAATCCTCTCACTCAAAGTGTTGGGATTA